ATTAAGACGCATTGATTCAAATTCACTAAATTTGCATGCAGCTATTTGAACATGTTTTACAGTATTACTCGCCCAGCCTGCCTTTGGAGACTTCCCTAGGCAGATTAGCCAGTGACAACACAAGCAAGTTTGTAATGTGGCGAGTCAAATAATCTTGCCAGGCTCATTGGCACACATAATTTGACCACAAGACGCCAGTCGCCTGGCCAATTATAGGATGGAACATCTGGCAACGTCATCTTTTCCAAGTTCCAAAATGCAAGGGGGGGGTGCAAATGATAATACCTTCAGAGCAAGGCAAGACAGTGTGGATCTCAATGGTAAGGGAGAGTCTGACCAACATAGTCTGGCACAACAATGCACAATGATGGCCTGAAGGTAGTGAGAAACTGAAAATTCTACAGGTATTACCCATTTTCCCTGAGGGTGCTCTGCACCTGGTGGGTTATACCTGGGTTCAACTAACTGGCAGTAGTAAGACCTACTTTGTCTTAGACAAATTATCTACCTTAAACAAATGTTATTAATTGGTGTGACACCATCAATCTTGGAAAAAATGACAAAATACTTAGTTATTTTGGCAAACTTTTATTTTTTTTAATCGTCATTTTATTTTCCAACCATTTAGTTCTCTTGAATTTTACATTCTGTGATTTTCACAATTATGGCACGGTTTGTGTCTAATGGAACACAAACTATCCCACAATGCAATATAATCTTCTACCTGTATATCACGATAATGGCTATGCACATTTTTTTCAAATAAACAATTATATAGTGAGGGACAAGGAACACAAATATGCATTGACATTCACTGCCACCATTTCTAATCAGACATAATATCAATAAGAAACATTTATGTTGAATTTGATTATCAAGGATTCCATTGAATTTGACATCACGTTTCGGGTCCATTCCAACTGTTTTCAAAACGTCATTTACACATATACATGTGCTTCTAATAGAGCATATATTTAATTTGAGCTTTCATGCTCATTGAACTAACATTTTCTATAAGTTTTTTTGTTAATTTTGGACAAAATGGACCATAATTTCAGTTACCTTCAACAAACTTGTTACTGTAAAATGACTAAATTTCACTGATTTAGTGTTTCAGGCATATTTAGTGGGTTTAAAATTCACGGTTTTATCATTTAGATAATGTGTTCCATGCTCAATTTTACATATTCACTGGGTTTTAATTTAGCGCATTTTCCAGTCAGCGAAAAAAGCCAAATTAAAACCCAGTGAATAATTAACCCCTTTACAGTATCTATGGACAACACTTTTTGTTTTATAACAACAATTGGTACTACTGTTAATTGACACTTCACTCAAAATACAAAAACATTTCAAGATCCGAGACAAATCAAATAAGATAAGACCAACAAATTTAAGTGTCCTTACCATGTGTTCAAGCAAGCATTGCAACAAGTCCTTGTATTTCAAATACATGTCCCTTCAGGCATTTATAATTATATAACTCATGAACACATTTGTGTCTACTATAAATGCAAAATACTCCTTGTTTTGATTAAAAAAAATTGCAAATATGCGAGGAACATGAAAATGCCCATTACCAAGTTTTATCTGCAATTCTGTTTCAGCAGTTCGCTGTTTTTGATTGATGCGAATTTTTATGTTTTTCCATAATGTTAAACAGTGCAAACATTGCACATCTTCGTGCTGGAGAAACTAAAGAATGCGACACGCTAAAATCTGTTATCATAAATAACACTGAGTAAGTACTGGTAAATTGTAAACAAGATTCACACAGGATTTCTTTATTGAAGGGTCATGCGCTGTGTTTGTTGCCAATTTTGTTTTATGATCTGTGGTGGTAATTAGTTCATGTCGTGCCAGGGTCAAAATGCATACTTGTGATTTCCATTAGAAGAGTGCATTTGATGATGGAAAAGTCAATCCAAATAACACACATGCGCGGTACGGCGACCATCGTCCTTCAACAGCTTAGCATTTTACCCTGTGTACTTTGGGTTGGTTTCACTAAAGTCATGTTGGCTCAGAATTACATGGATTAAAAAATACAATTGGAAAAACTCACAACTCGTGTTTCTTTCAGTCATTAATATATACAGATCCTTTGTAAGAAAGTTGTCACATTAACGGTATTCACCAAGATGTGTGTATCAAGCCGGAATTCATTTGGAACATGCTGAAATATGTTAATTAATATGCAAATAATCTTATTAATATGCAAAAATATGGCACAAATGATCAATCACAATAAATGTGGGATAACCAGAAACATGAATATTTTTAACAGACATGTGTAATGATCAGCAGCATGAATAATTTGCTAACTGACATGCACCATGGTCAGGAACATGCATATTTTTAAATGTGGGATAACCAGAAACATGAATATTTTTAACAGACATGTGTAATGATCAGCGGCATGAACAATTTGTTAACTGACATGCACCATGGTCAGGAACATGCATATTTTTAAATGTGGGATAGCCAGAAACATGAATATTTTTAACAGACATGTGTAATGATCAGCGGCATGAACAATTTGTTAACTGACATGCACCATGGTCAGGAACATGCATATTTTTAAATGTGGGATAACCAGAAACATGAATATTTTTAACAGACATGTGTAATGATCAGCAGCATGAATAATTTGTTAATTGACATGCACCATGGTCAGGAACATGCATATTTTTAAATGTGGGATAACCAGAAACATGAATATTTTTAACAGACGTGTAATTTGTTAACTGACATGCACCATGGTCAGGAACATGCATATTTTTAAATGTGGGATAACCAGAAACATGAATATTTTTAACAGACATGTGTAATTTGTTAACTGACATGCACCA